CTGGGCCGGTTCGTGGGGGCGCGGCCGGACCTGGCGGACGAGGTGTCGCGCCGCCTCGAGGCGGTCGTTGCGACTATTTCCGATGAGGCCGAGGATGGTGTCCAATAACATCGTGGCATCGTTCCGGTCCTCGCGGAGGACGCGGCGAGGGGAGGTGGATGTGAAGGCGCGGCTCCTCGCGGCTAATAATGGAGAATTACTTACATTTATAACACGTGCCGTCGTTAGGTTACACATGATTTTCGTGCATTCAATGTCCGCTGCGCCGGAGTTATGTATATCTGAACGCGAGCTCGACCGGAGGCCGGCGGAGGGAGGCAGGTTGGCGGACTTGCCGACTACTCGCAAAGTGAGGAGTCTGTGTAAACGCACCGACGTTAGGAGCGCACAACGTAATACATCCAGAAGTAATTGAATGAGCATTTTTTGAATATTTTTTTGAAATATTTTATAATCGGTTTGAACGTTATCGTCGTGTCGAGGAGAGGCGCACACGCACAGTTCGCGCACACGCACAGTTCGCGCACGCAGAGCTGCGCCGAGTGACGAGCCGCAAACATTTTTAAATCTCAATTTATTACGAATTAAAAAAGTAATTTTCACTTTTCAACATTTAGGCACTTTGATATATATCTAATGTTTAAATGAGTTATACAAAAACGAGATAGTTTAGTCGTAGTTTAATACTTTTCAAAATAAACATTCCATTTACTAAAGTATCAACGGACGGGAAGGGCGACGTCGTCCTCTCGGCACTCTCCGGTTTAATGGCTGCATAGTTTATATAAATATTGTATATGAGAGAAACAATACTCTTCTATTTGTAATTAAACGTGATATTATATTGCATGGTGATGACGAGTGCGAGGAGAGCAGCTGCGGCTGTGCTGCTGCAGCTCTGCGCTCTCTGCAGCAGCAGCAGCAACAACAACTGCAAAATATATAATTATGAGTGCGTTGCTACTGAGGAATTCCTGCATAACACGCGTCAAGGCGGCGGCGTGCTGGTGGGGCGGCGTGCTGGTGGCGGCTCGCTCTCCGATACCTTTCTACATTCCTATTGTATTAAACTTCTATGTTGAAGTTATATTTGCGTATCTTGCCTTTCGCTTTGCATTTATTCTGGCCAGCCCCGTGTCACGCCGCGTGTCCGCTCACCATTTGCACAGACATTTTCCCACATCTTGGAAAGTCCCGGTGCTAAGGAGTTGTAGCCATTTTAATTGTTAATCATTTTGAGCTTCAAATAGATTAACGTAAAGTTTTATTCTTGTTAATACACTTTGAATGTAGTTTCATGGACCAAAGTTGATACAAATAATGTAAGCCTACAACGCGCTATTGCAGCGCGGTGGCGGAGCGGCGGGGCGGCGCGGCGGTGCGGCGCCAGCCAGCCGGCCGGCCCGCTCGCCCGCTCGCCCGCTAGACCCCGCTAGACCCCGCTCACGTCACGTCACTCTACACTCAGCTGAATTAAACTATATTATGTAAAGTGCTATTCTATTATTTCATTAACAGTAACTACCGATTTGTGCTTATCGATTAGAATTCCTACTGTATCAGGAGAAGAATCCTTGACACGTTTATAAATCAAGTTCGTAATTTGTGTGCATAAACTGTACATGCATTTTCTTATACCCAACGTCACAACATCGCTCGGGGGTTAAGCTCACAAACTTGTTATCTACATTTATACGACATTGTTAGAATGAAGGAAAACATTGTGATGCAATCTGCACCTGCACTTGTACCTGCACCTGCACATGTCGGCGAAAAACTTCAATGACATGTGTCAAGTTAAACGTTTGAAAATTAACATTTAAATATGATATGAATTAAAAAAAACAAATATAGGATATTTGATATATTTGTAAATAGTAAAAGACAGGTAGTTGTGCTAATGGTGGTGGTGGTGGGGGGCAGGGGGAGCGGGCGCCAGCTGGTGGGCGCGCAGGGGCTGCCGGCTGCCGCACCCCGCCACTGTGACACACAACACAACATGACACGACATCCAGTCATTACTTCAACTTATAAAACAATAACAAGCAGCAACACAATCATCCAAGTCCAAGTTTATTCCTAAAGGCTAAAGTATCCTTGAAAAAAATATTGTATTATATCTTGTATGAAATGCATTTATACAAATGTAATACTGAGCAAGCACACGAGCGCAGCGCACTGTGCTACTGTACCTGGGCAGATTACTTTCTTCCTTGTGTTGATTAATTTCATGATGGACCCTCTATCGTATATGTGGCCGCACACACTGTTCTGGACGGGATCTGTTACTGGCCTTTTTGTGATCGGGTCGATCTGAAAGTAACCATACATTTATCACATATTTTCAAAATTTGCAATATTTTATTTCATCTTTGTTCTTAATGAAAACTCGATTCATTTATGAACACTAAACAATTGCACTCAAGACTTTATACTTCCTTCTCTAAATATAATAAATCTACACTAAGCTACTTGTATAGTTCACTGTGAGTGTGCCACTTAGCAAGTAATAATAAACAAATAATGCAACACTTACATATCTATCTTGTGTTTCTGTTATAGCTAAGTCTGAATCATCCAAGTTTTCTGTAAAAAGAAACATATCTTAGCGCCAACACAATAAACCATTAACTGTATACACAAACATTACACTCATTACAAAACTCAAGATCTACTTTCATTTTTACATTGTCCATAAATGTTGTAAAACAAAGTTGCTTTTCCTGACTTATGTTATAACAATCATCTAATTATGTATGTGAGATTTGTAGATCTTAAAAAAGTCAACAAACTTGTCTTTGCAGCTTAACTTACAATAACCATTTGGTCATTAAAAAATCAGTAAATAATTGCACCTTTTTTTCTTAATGCTTATACAAATGTGTTCCTTGTCAGAAGGATTTAACATAGATTGTTATTGCCTTTCATAGTATCTGGACAGGTGGGAAATTAGTCATATGCTTCCCCTGCCGGGCAGCAGCAGCAGGTAGTTAGGAATTATATATATTGAAGCAAACTAATCTTTAGGTATCCTTAACTTGGTTTTTAAATAAAAGGCATCAACATTAAGAAGTGCACATTGAAAAATGAGCTGACTAACAATATTGTATGATATACTATATTATAATTTAAATGGTTCAACTGCAGTAAACTACAATGCACACAAACATCAATGGTTTCTATATAAATAACTTATGTTTTACATAGGCGCAGTACTGTAACAGATCACTGTTAGATTTATTAATTGCTTACGAGTAGCTCTCTGACAACCCATTTCAACTTTTTTATTCAGTTCTATCATGTAGGGATGTTGATTGTTGTCCGTATCTCTTTGGGCCATGCTGCTCAAGTGAAATTCAAACCTATCCTGCAAGGGTTCAATGTTCGATTCAATCTCGTTCTGAAAGTTGAAAAAAATGTAAGCATTAAGTATGGTTCATGGATTGCTAATAAATAACACTAGCACACCTTGGCTTTTTCCAAGGCCTGATTGGCGACATCTTGGCGAGCTTCCATCGTGCAATATTCATCGATACAAGACTTCAGCTTAAGAAACTCTGTCTCCATTTCTTGTCCATCCAAAAACAATCCTACATTTTCTGCACAAGAATACAAACTTGCGACACATTGCTTTCTCAAATCACTTAACTCTGCATCTACCATCTTTAAAGTTGACTTTTAATGTACGGTTAAGATAAAAAATAATTTAGAATTTGATATTCCTTGCGACAATTTAAAATATTATTGTTATGTTTATACTGTCAAAAATCCCGCTTAAAAACCAAAGACTAGGTATAGTTCGAAAAGAATCTCAAGATCTTGTGACATTATATTAGTTTGACAACTGACGCCTATGAAGTATCGATTTAATTTTGTATGATTATTAATGTCGTACGTCGTATTATTAATGTCGTACGTATTTTATATACTCTTTGGTCGTACCAACTAAATGGACGGTTGTCATAGTGTCGAATGGTGTCGAACCGACGCGCACAACGAATAACTATGAACTATCGAGAATCGGTCTTGTAATAAAATTAATCGAATAAATGGGTGCTATAATTTAGGTGGACATGAAATAAATTTGGTAGACGTAGTTCAAAAAAATTATTAAATTTATTTATAAATTCTATTATAACATTTTTAAACTCTTGATCATAAACATTAGAATTTATAAGGTCATTATGGCAAATAATTAGTTTAAATAATTTGTTGCGACAAAAAAATTACCAATCCATCGGTAAATTCTAGAAATGGACATGACACGGTACTGACATTTAAGTGATAAATTGTAAGTTTCCTCAAAGTGGTAAGTTCTATTATACAAAAATAATAATAAAATATGTTTATAATTATCCAATTAACACAAAATCTCATTAATTGATTGTTATTTAACGACCAGTGGGAACAAACAATACAGTACATTAAAATCACAGTTATGATGGAATCACCCATGTATCGCACAATTATAATACATTTAAAAAAAATCTTTTTTGTTCGTCTAATTTCTTCATGTAGATATGAAGGATAACGTAGGAAATGAAAGAAACAATTTTATTTATATTGTAATTTAAAAACAATAATCACGAAATTTTCGATTGCAAGTTGTATGAGAACATCAATGGAAAATCTAAAAAATTCGTAATCGATTTTGGACAACCATATCTAGTGAATTGTCAAACTAATCTATCTTAAATAGACCCCACATAACATTTTTAATGCAAATCGTTTGAGAGTAAATAAATATTGTTTGAGTTTCTACTTTCTCCGAAAATAAATAGTTTCAAGTTTTAGTGTGAGAGGGGTCAACCCCATTTAATTTGTTTAATTTTCTTTTCGCAAATTAGAGAATCGCTTCAGAGAGATTAATAGAAATGAAATATAATTTGGGAGTTAATAAATATTTCAATTTCCGTATCGAAAGTTATAAGTTAATTTTCGATTTTATTAGAGATAAAGTAGGTATTTAACGTATTAATATCTCTCAATCTGTCTGAAACGAGTCTCTAGCGATAGGCATAAAAACATAATACGACATAGCGTACGTCGAGGACAATGTTGCCAAGTTCATATTTTTGGTTTTTTATTTATATATTTTGATTTTGGAGAAGGATGTGTAACAGAAACAGCATTGAAGATCTCGTCAAAATGGTCTTAACTAAGTGTGAAAGTTATTAGGCCGAAAACTACGGAAGGTTAAAATGATAGTTGCCAGAGAGGATTGAGATGTTTATTCGGCGAGCGTTCAACGAGTACAGACAGGTTAAAGAGGTTACATTAAAATTGGGAAGCATAATTAAAAATCTTAGGTTGTGTAGGGTACTTCCCTACTTGATCAAAAAACATTGCTCGAGTAAAATTCCAGGCGCTCAGCGCATCGGCGAATTGGCGCCAACACTAAGTCAGAGGTAAAGAAAACTACACAGAGACTTTTCTATAAATAATTTATTTAAAAAAATATATCTAGGATGTTAACATTATTAAAATAATATAGCCTTGCATATTGTATAGTGGATTGTGTAAATCAATTACATACGATTTACACGTTTTCGCTCCAGACTTAATACTACTATAATGTTTATATTTGCAAGTAAGTGCAAGTGCAAAATTCTGGTCAGCGCAGTGTCGGTGTGGAGGCGTGGCCCAGGGCGGCGGGCAGGCGAGCGTGGTCACACGGTGACGCCCACGTGGCCGGCGTGGCCCAGGGCGGCGGGCAGGCGAGCGTGGTCACACGGTGACGCCCACGTGGCCGGCGTGGCCCAGGGCGGCGGCCAGGCGGGCGAGATGCGCGCGCATGTCGGCGGCGCTGACGCCACGCCGCGCGCCTATCACCTTCAGCGCGTTCAGGTACTCCAGCTCCGAGAACTGCGGCCCTCTCTCGCGGATCGACGTTATTATCTCCTACGCAGAGCGAACACGGCCTCAACTCGACGCACGAAAGGTACGAGCGGGAGCGGGAGGTGCGGAGAAACTGACCTCAGGCGTGCAGGCCAGCAGGTGGAGGTAGGCGTGCGCTGCGTGCAGCCCGGCGTGCGGCAGCTGCAGCGCGGCCAGGCAGTGCCGCAGTGCCGCCAGCCGCGCGCCCGCCGCGCCCGTCTCCGCCCCCACACCCGCACCCGCCCCCGCCGTCTGCCACCGCCACACCACCGCCGCCGACATCATCTCGCCGAGGCCGTTCATCACGTACTGCAACAGGGCAGGGGGGGCTGCAGAGGGTCGTGGGGGTGCCGCGGGGGGACAGCCTGCGGGCGAGCGACACGTACCGCCAGTCGCGCGGGCGCCAGCACGGCGGCGGCGCGCTCGTGGAAGGCGAGCAGCGCGGCGGCCAGCTGCGCCGCTCCGCCCGCGCCCCCGGCGCCCTCCTCCTCCTCGCCGCGCTCCTCCTGCCCCAGGTAGTGGAAGCACTCGATGCGCAGCTGCGACCGAACCACATATAAATATTCACGGGCGACTCGTTCGGACGGGAAGAGGCGACTCTCACCTCCAGATGTAAGAAGAGCAGGCACTCGTGGCAGACGTCGTCGAGAGCGGCGGCCGCGGCGGACAGCTCGGCCGCGAAGGAGTCGGGCGGCCGCAGCGCGCCCCCCGCCCCGCCCGGCGCCGCCAGGTACGCGCCCAGCGAGCGCACCTTGCCGCTCAGCCAGGCCTGCAAGCGCGACCGTCACACCGACTTCGCCTCGCGACGACGACGAACGTCGGCAAGGAGGTACCGGACCCACCGCGGACTCGGCGAGCAGCGCCAGGTGCACCAGCGGCGCGGCGTCCCCCACCACCTCGCGGCGCGCCACCTCGCCGTCCCCCAGGCTGGCGCCCAGGATCTCCGCCTCGCGCTCGTACGCCTGCTGCAGCTCCCGCGCTTCGCTCACCGGCGCAGAGGCGTTGCCGGCGTGCGCGACGTGCGCGGCGTGCGCGACGTGCGCGACGGCCGCGCGGTAGTTGGGCAGCGACTGCAGGAAGCGCACGATGTCGTCGTCCGCCAGCCAGCGCGCGGCGCGGGACGGCGCCCCGGGTCGCAGGCGGGGCAACGC